TACCCATTCCTGCTCCCCTAAACAGTTCTTTCTCAGCTTTACCCTCCTCCATCCGCCAACACCTTCTCCATCCTTGTTCTCTGCTCATCTTCCTGTTTTTCTTATAGATGATTGAAGCAATAAAAGAGAACATTCACAAACTTCCACTCGCTCCTCTACCTAACTACTTGTATCTTTATCCATAGACTTTGCCTTCCCTGCTGTTGCCATCAGCAAACAGTCCCTGCTCCTAGTCATGAGGGGCAGCATTTTGTCTTGCACTAGATCCCGTCTTCTCTTGTCTACTTACACACATTGCTCTGGCCATTCTCTTTTCTTGCCTCTCACCATGTTTTTCCCCCTTTACATTGGATCATTCCCACCACCATAAAAACATTCGTTATTTTTCCCTTCTTTAAAAAAAAAACCCAACCCTCCCAACTCCCCCTTCCCTCCCCCTTCCAACTGCCACTCCATTTCTCTCCTGCCCTCATAGGAGCGTCCCTCATTCCTCAAAAACTGTGTCCATTTCCAATTTCTGGAAGGTAGAGAAGTAGCTGAAATGGTGCTTCTCTGAAACCTGTGTGGTTTTTACTTTTACCTTTAGAAGCAGTCACAGCCATGGGCCAAAAGCACAACTTGCCAACAGATGAGGATTCTGTGTCAGAGGAACTAGAGCAAAAGAAACCGTTCAGTAGTCAACCTTCTGAACTTCCTTCAGAGACCTCAGGTATGTCAGGAAAACAGAGTGGCCTGTTTGGAAACGCTTAAACTGGGAAAGATGGGGAGATGGTGGAAGACATTGTTCCTGGTTATAAGGTGGTGATCAGCAGGACCGTTTACGAAGTCAGCTCTCTTTCTTAAACAGATTTCAGTGAGCTTTACACATTTTTGATGGTAAGCCAGAAGCACGTGCACATGATTATCAACTTAGTGATTCTCTGCCTCCTTTTCTGTGATTGTGGTGAGATTGTGAACTTCAGGGCAGGGACCAAGATTTACTACACTTGGAATCTCTACTGCTTTGAACACAGTCTGGCACCAAGTGGGAGCTAAATAAATGTATGATTTTTAAAATGTTGTTTTAGTGACTCAACATATCATTAAAGATTTCTCAAGTCCTTATTGTGTATACACCATGCTAAGGCACACAGATACTTAGGCCTGGGTCCTGGTCCTTTTCTAGCCTGGATGATGAGAGAAGTTCCCAGGCGTGAACTCTGAAACCAAAGATTTATATAATAATTGAATTAAATAGTATTAGAGATGGCACCAAATAGCTGCTGATTAATTGCCAAGTTAAATGTTATAAATGCTGTGGGTTGCTAAAGCCTAGCAATTTTTCAGGAAAAACAATAATTGGCCTGAGGTATTAAGTAAAGGGTAGGATTTGGAGGACATTGGAGGGATAAAGATAAGGGCAAAAGTCACTATTTGAGTATTTTAATATTCTGTGAGGTCATTTATTGCATCAGACTTGACAAGAGTTGTCCTAGACCTGCTCTCACCGGGTCTCTTTCCAGGATCTTGGATCCATACTGCATTCATTGACTTAGAGGCAGGAGGTTGGACTAATTGACTTCCTGAAACTTTTCCAAGGGTGCTCATCCTAATTGTTTTAATTCATTATCCTATACTTGGCATTATGTATATATCTCTGTCTTTTGGGAAGTACCTTTAGCAACAGAACATTGAAATCTAGCACATTTGTGTTTCAAAGTAGGAGGCTCTGGTTCTGAAATAATGTGACTTTTTCTCTGGACAAAATACTAATTCAGTATCTTTTCTTTTTTTCTTTCTTTTTTTTTTAAAAGTAGTATAATTCTGTCCTTCTGGTCTGTTTAACAAGTAATCGGTATAATACTGATAAGTAATTAGTATAATATTGGTGACAGACTCTTAGAATTGTAAAATCATACATATTTCAGTCAATCAATTAATCAATGTCACCAAAAAGAGAAGCTTACCATCTTGTTACTATTCTGGGAATTGTGTACCTATTAAAAATAATAACAAATATAAATAAGTATCAGAGGAGATTTATAGGCAGTAGGTGCTTATTATACAGATTAGAAGATCTCTGTTTGAATTTCTTTTATCAAGTTTCGAATATTTTGTAAATACATTTTGTAAAAAAAAGTCTTTACCCAAGATGTTGATCTTTGTTTTTTGTTAAATATTTACTAATCCCAGTTAAGAGTGAGAAATGTTTTGGAAAAAAACTGTTTTCCTAAATGAATCAGTATGTGGGTTGGTGAAAATAGACTACTTAAATGAGTCACTAAATGGACACTTTCTTAAAGAAACAATAACAAGGGGTTTTCTGTTTGGAATTTTGGCCAACTTCATGTATTGCAGGTACCCTTCCCACACAAGCCAAAAAAGCGTGCAGACCCAGTGATCGCAGGTCCGCCCGGCCTGCCCGGCCCAGGCTTGCCAGGGTCCCTCCTGAGCTGCTGGGAGGCTCTTCTCCACGGAAGACTCTTGATCCTGGGCTGGGCCCCTGCCCTTTGTCTGAGTTGGGTTGGGTTTCTGGTTCGTCTTCCTGTGGTGAGCCTGGGGACCAGAGGAAAACTATTCATGGTGACTTCCTTGAACCCCAGAGGGATCTTGGCAGGGAGTCCTGGGATATAGAAAGAACACCAATGATGATGAAGAAAAAAAAGAAGAAACCAAAGCAAAAGAGATACTCTCAGCCCCGGGCTGGGGGACCTTGGGATGATGACAATGCAGATGAGCCTAAAGGTCATCCCTCTGCCACTGACCCACAAAAGTCAGGTGTTCCCCCCAGCCAGCCTACCACTGTGGGCACAGAACATGGACTGGTATCCAGAGAAAACTTGAAAAAGGGATGTGAAATTGACTCCAGAGCAGCCAAACTGGTAGCTGAGAACTTTGTCTCCAAGGGTCTCAGCATTCCTTTGTGTCCTTTGGAAGAACCCCCGAAAACTGCAGTAAATTCTCAGCCCAGACTGAGAGTAGAGGCAGAGGTGAGAGGTAACAAGTCAGCACCACAGAGCCAAGACAAGAAATTGCTGCAGCAAGATGAGTGCAAACCACAGCCTGCACCCTACCTCAAGACTCCTGTGGATAAAAGCCAGACAGTAGGCTCCCTCAATCTGAAAGGACACCTGACAGAAGTTTTTTCACACAAAGTAGAAATTCCTTTGGAGATCAGACCCAAAGAGGGTTGCTCTCCTGTCTTGGACCAAGAGGCTGAGGGTAGAGTTTCAAAACCCAAAGCAGCAAAAGAACTGCCTAATTCCATACCCACTTTGACAGCAGGTAATCCATTAGTAAGTAGTCTAAAAGAAGGGAATGATGAAAGTAAAATGACTAAACTGCAGAATGACAAACAGAAAGAGTTTTCTGAGGGAGCTGAAGAGGTTAAAGAACTAAAAAAGGAAAGTATTCCCAAGGAAAGACAGGAGAACAGCATCTTTGCTTCTGAGCAGCCACAGGACACAGTGTTAGCTCAGGTTCCTGGACTAGGGAATGAACCATTTAAGAGAATGGCAGGTGATGGCAAAAGCAGGAAGGGAAAGGGAAGTTCTGGGAAGATGAGAGCAAGTTCTGGGAAGGTGAGAGCAAGGTCTGAGCTGCTGTGGCTTGCGGACAGCCAGAAGGACAGCAGAGCTGTTCTTGTGCCAAGTGAGCCAACGCCTAAAATGGAAAGAATGGATAAAAGCGAGGAGCTGGGGCTGGGTTCTTCAGAGCAACCAGGGACTGTGGCTGAGCTCACTGAGGCAGTGGTGATGCGGGACCCTAAGGAGATGACTGACCTGAGGGTGGCAGGTACCTTGCAGGCGTTGATTCCTTTGGGAAATGGGTCAGGCATGATTCAGACTTCCGGTGCTAGAACAGAAAGAGGAACTGTAGCCATAGGCATGCGTGTTGGCAACCAGAGCGAGGAAGAAAAATGTCCTTGGATGGATCATGAGGCAGCTCCCTGGATTTCTGAAAAGCCTACAAAAAGAGGCAGTGAAGACAAAAACAAAAAGTTTAAAAATAGTTATTCCACACAGCCTGCTAGAATGAAGAGGGAGGAAGAAATCCTCAACCCACCTTTTGTAGGGAAGCGTGGGGATATTGGTAGTACTCCCCATCAAAACAGAGAATTAGAACTTACTTTCCCCATAAATCATGACCCTTTGTTCTCACGTATATCAGATACACCCACAGTGGAAGGAGTTGACCAAAAGGGTAGAAATGTTGAGGTTAATTCTTCTAAGCTTGGGGCTCTTGGCAGGAACAAAACAAACGCAGGCAAGGATTTTGCTGTTACTGAACCAGCTACCAAGGTGACAGATGTGAGCTGCCAAGACCAAATCCAGGGGACAGGATTTGTTCCTTCAGTACCATCTGAGGCGAATAAGACAGATGTGGGCAAGAGACATACTGCAGTTGCTGACAAATCAAATAAAAGGAGTAATGATGGGAAAAGCAAAAAAGTTAAAAATAGTTTCCCTGAGAAGCACATTCTGGAGAATAAGATAGATGCAACAAAAATACATGTTCCCATGGAAACCATAGGGGACCACAGAATTGAAGGAATGGGCTATGTGGATGAAAATAGAAATATTACATTTACCTGCCCTAGAACACCACCAGGGTTGATGAATAAGACAGTCCCCCTAGAGGCTCAGGAATCAGCAGCCTGTGAAAAACTGCCCCCTTCTACTTTTCAAGTAGTAAAGGAAAGTGATTCATTTCCAGACACCTTGGCAGAAAGCGGGCAAGAGACAGCTCCAGCCCAGATTTCCAAATTATTAGAGGTAGATAATTGCAGCAAAGTTGGAGTCCCAGATGAAGAAAGACTCAAGGCTCCCTGTGCTGTTATGCCCTCTACGAGCACAGGAGGAGTTGCCCTAACTCTGACAGCAGCCATAGAAACAGTTAATAACCATGGAGTTAGCTGTCTTCAGAATAAAGGTGAGCTTGCTGGTCCCATGAAAAATGAAACAGGGATAGACGGAGGGCATGTGATAGGAGAATCTGAGTCAGTGCCCAGTGGTGCATCAAAGCACTCAGTAGAGAAAACCACAGAGCCAGCAGGGGGACACCTTCTTTCTGGCGTGCTCATAGAAGACCAAAGCCTGGCAGGTGGGGTCAGAGTCCTAGAAGCATGTGCAGATAGCAGTAATTTTCCAACATGTCCAGTAAACAAACAGAAAGAGTCTGAGGAAGGTTCTGCTCCAGTTCCAATTCTTGACCTAATGGGAGACAAAGAACAAAAGCCCAGTTTCTGTGAGGACCAACGTGCTGAAAATAGAGATTCCCAGGGCCCAGATAGTTTGAATAAGGAGGTAGATACGACTCTTTTGCCACCAGAAAGTGAAAAGGATAAATTGGAAGAAATCAGTCTGGATTCTGAAATCAGAGAAATGGCATGTGTTTCCTTGGCACCACCAGAACTCCAGTCAGGTGTCTTAGGTGGCAAAGTTGAAGTGACTCCTTCAAGGGTGGTAGATGAGTTAGTAGTGACTGCTTCCAAGGCTCTTCAACTCCCAGAACCCAAAGACAAGATCTTGGAGGCACCTGAGAAAATGACAGAAAAATCTGAAGCAAAGGCACTGGGACAAGGGAAGAAGGAAGATAAAAGCAGAGCGGCAGAACCCATGAAAGGCTACATGAGACCCACCAAGTCTCGAGGACTCACTCCACTTTTACCGAAATCTACAGTCCAGGAACGAGAGCGATCCAAGCAACTCAAGTCCAGTGGTATGAACC